TAACTTCTAAATATAGCTCACTTTATATCTTAGTTAATATTCATTTTTTTATGCATTTCCTCCTTCTAGATTATATCTCTTGGAATCATAATGACCAAGAAATTCAATAATATATAATTTATGAGTGAAAACTAAAAACATGTCCTGCTTATAATACATTTACAAAAAAACACATCACATTGTCTTAAAATTTTGGTATCTATGCCACATCAATGTGTGATTTTTACCATAACTTAAGAAAATGCTTGACCCACACTAAATGAATTACTAGCTTGTCATGACATCGTAAACCCCAAAATCCCCATTGTTATAATTGTTGCTCATGATCGTTATCTACATACCTTCAACCTCTTTAAATCCATATTCTTCTTATTCCTCTTTCATTAGTAAGTAGACTTGATTTTTCTCTCCCTTTTATTATTGACTATATTGTGTAAATTATAATTTCTCACATGGAAAAATGACCCTCCTTTCCTATAGAAGCCCTATTGAACTTTCTGACACATTATATCTTTATTTGACACCTTTTATAAATTCTTTCCATCACCTAACAAAAATAACTTTTAAACTACCAACACATCATAGACCTCAATTGCCCTTTATAAATGTGGAAAATCTAGATAAAAGCTCTCAGTAATTTCTTCTCAAAATTAAATAATTGCTTATGTGCTTTCCAATCATATCATTTTGAAATGAAAAATTTAAAATGGGAGCATGAGGTTCATGATTTCTCTATAGTATTTAAATCAAATATGAGTCAAATATTAGATTTGCTGAGCTTAAAAATTTTTAATTTAAAAATATTTTTAAAAATGGCCTTTAAAAAAAATTGTCTAGCATTTTCAATCACAAAAGCTTAAAAACTCCTAACATAAACCCCACTTGGGTTACAAGCTGACATCTACAATTTAAATATTATAAGATCATATTTTTAAATAATGTGGGACAAAAAAATTATTATGATTTTATTATTTTTATTACTCTATTTTTACTTATCCGAAATAAAGGAAAATTTGGTGCAAATTTTTGAAAAAGATTTGCGTCAATAACAGGTAGAGCACGGTCAAGTTTCAAAATCTAATATGATTTCTTAGTTGACCCAATATGAGATAATTTTACGAAGCCTTAAGACAAACATAGTCCTATAAGTGAATTAAGTAATTAGCATAAACTTCTGTGATTTAAAGAAAGAAGTTATGATAACCATTGAATCTCTCTCTCTCTCCCTCTCACTCACTCTCTCTCTCTCTCTCTCTCTGTGTGTGTGTGTTTCTGTCGATGTCTGCTCTCTTCCCTCCCTCACCATCTCACCCCTCATCTCTCTTTTCGTTTGTCTTTCACTCTTCTACAATTGCCTAAATGCAATCACATAAGGTCTATCACTTTTTTATAATCATTTGACAATAATCATCATTTTTCATGAATTATAATGATTTTATCAATTTGGGGAGCAAAATTATCACTCACAATGGTGTCGGGCAATTGCCACGACAGCCATCACCATTGTCCAGTTATTGTCCTACGGTTGATACCTTTGTTATTGTTAAACGACCGTTGTTTGACCAACTTCATTGTCATAGGATCATTGTCATTGACAACACTTGAACCCCTACCATAATAGCCTAACCAAAGACATTGTTGTCACTAATGTTAGATCACCATATCTAGTTATTGTTTTCGGGCCATCATCGCTCGATCAATATCGTTAGACCACAACCATTGTTGTTGGAATATCAATCCCTACTGAGAGGGCAGCTTTGATCATCACCACCAGGTCATCAACATCTCATTGGTGTCGAGCCATTGCCTTCAACGTCATCATGTCACTCTTGTCACTGTTAGCCATCATCGCTTTACCTTATTCTCGATCTTCGACAACATTGACATTTGTTGTCCATCATATTGCTCTCATTGTCAATCTTTCATCACAGTAGAATGGTCACTACCACTTTCCCAACGTGTTCTCGCCACTACTCCGTTGAAATTTAAATTAGTTGTCAACCCCCGTTTGTGTACTATTGATCTTAGCTACTCAAGGGACAAAATCTTATACATTACAAAAAAGTAGTGAATTTATTTTGACTGAGTCATACCTTATAGTTTTTTTTTTCATTTTATTTTAGATTCTCCACAGAAAAACTCATAATGTCTTTTATGTCAATTTTTTTTTATCTGTATGTGAATCGGATTTACATAAAACACTAAAACATTAATATATTATTCTACTGTCCTGAATTTAACAGCACAAAACAAATATGTTATACATAAAAAATGCGACCGCACGAATATTGAGAAATTTCGATGGGTCTCGCTTAAAGGACACCAAAGAGCTGCATCAGAATAGCCAAAAGATAAAGGCGTCAAGAGTAGTTTTCCTTTAGTTGGAACTCTTAGTTGATCAAATGAAAACAAAATCAAATGAAAGAACACGAGGCATCTAATTCGAGGGATAACCATTTGTAGCCAACTCAACTAATTTTTGTATTCTTCACAAAGATGGCAAAAGAGTACCCAATTGAATATCTTTCTAAACCTATAAGAAAGCCAATGAGAGTTGCCCATTAGATTACAGTGATACACTCTCTGGTTGACGGTCTAAGTTCAACTTAACAACATAAGGCTTCTATCGAGTATTCTAATGAAAAGCTAACCGACGATATTTCAGTCGATTGAAGATCTTTCATCCGACCGAATGACTCTTAGACAATCGAATGGCAACATCAACAAGTCATTAAATGCCCTTTTATGTGCAGTTATGAATACAAAACAGTGTTAGCATCACTTATGAATATTAAAAAGTCGCAGAGCCAGTTATAATATGAATAAGTGTAATAATGACTTATAACATACATATTAAAATAAAGATAAACATGTAACTTTGTTATATACCCCTTGAACTGTAAATTGAGGGTAATTTCTTCAATAAAGGACTACTAGTTTACTTTCTCATAACTAATCTTGTTGTGCACACTATTTTTCTTTCTTCCTCTGTCTCTTACACTATTTTTCTTTTTCCCTCTATCTCTCTTGCTTCTCTCATCTGTTTTATACATTGGGTGTGATCTTTTAGATTTGTGTGCCTATCACTCGATCCCGCAGGCAGACTTGAATTTGTGACCCTCGGGGACTCACGACTGACAAAGTAACTGTCAACCAAAAAGCCACGACTATATATGTAACGAATCAAACTTAACTGAACATATTTTTGTTTGTGTTTAGCTTATTCCTAAACCGAACTAAAAAATATTGCTCGTGTTTTTCTCATTTGCTTCAAAACAAGTCGAACACAAACTGTTCCTGAACCACTAGTTTTTTCATGGCCCAGAACATGGACCAACAAGCCCTTTAATTATGCCTTCCATTTACTTTTTATTACTTAAGATACACATAATATACCAAATGAAAAAATAATATAAATAATATACAATTTTTCCATGTCGACTATCGGTTGTAAAAACATGATAAAATATAAAGTGAATGGCAGGGCCCAACTGCTATGCTAATAGAGACTATAATGTCTTTAGTTTATCAAACCCGATTTAAATAAGCTGCAAATCAACCAACTCTACACATAAAAATGAAAAATAAATGTATCTATACCGTGATATACAGAAGGTATTGTTATTTCGTCCCAAATAATACCGCCCGAATATAACCTGCACAAGTAAAGTCTATTTATTTACGTAGAATTATAACGCCTTTTAATTCGAAAGGTGCCAATTTGGGGAAAAATTTGGGTACAATAGACGTACGTAGCACTGCTTACGATTTCAAGGTTATAAGGAGGGTATAAGGGGGTTATACCCGTGTTATAACCCCTTGTAACCTCCATGTAACCTAGTGTAACATACTTGTAACCTACAAATAAGTTCTGCGGGTTATACTCGTGTTATAACCCCTTGTAACCTCCATGTAACCTAGTGTAACATACTTGTAACCTACAAATAAGTTCTGCACTTCTGTTATCATATATTAAGAATTTATTAGTAGGTGACAGGTAAGTTATAAAATATTACATGCAGGTTACAAGAGGTTATACCACAGATATAACCCTTTATACTCTCGATATAATCTTGAAAACGTACGCAGTGCTGCTTACGTCTATCGTACACAATTTTTTCCTCAATTTATACCCTAAAATATAAAATAAAAAATCAGCCGAGCCGAGGTTAATTATAATTTAATTCAAAATTCAAATTCATATTGAATTCCAACTAAACTTGAAATAAATTAATTATTTTATTAAAAAAAATTCGTGTATTAATTATGTTCACAAAAAAATCTAAATATTCCAATTTTTATTTCTGCCGGTATAATGAACTTGAAGGATATTCGAAAAATTAACAAAAATAACTTTAACTTTATTAAAATTCTAAGGTAAATATAGCAAAAAATTTAAATTTATATCACATTATTCTTATTATTTATGCAGCTAACAACAAAAATTTAATATTTATATTTTTAACACCTCGTGCAATAATAATAATTTTGTTGTAATATAAAAAATTTAAGTGTTGCGTATCTAAATATGTAAAATTTGATATTAAATATGTAAATATACAAGAATCACGTGCTAGATTTTGATACCTAAATGCTCTCATATAATAAACATAATTTATTAAGATAAATTTTTAAATTTGAGGATTATTTACAAACATATCACCTAATTCATACATATTTACATAGCTAACACCCAAAAATCACTCAAATTCTTTTACATCAGATCAAAAATATAATGATTTTAATTTTCTTAAAAGTCACATGGACCGTAAAATAAGGTGGCATGTAGGTAAAGATTGGACTTTGGGCGCTTGATATTATGAATACATATAAATTGAGTGGTATTTATGTAATCTTTCCTAATTTAAATCTTGCCTAAACAAATTTAATAATAACTCCGACTGGAAATTTACTATTCGTCGACTTCATGGTGGACAACATGGTACTTTCCTTGCTGGAGATTGTTCCCCTCATAGATTGCTATAAATATTTGCTTCGTTTCGTCTCTCTCGCCGATCTACCTCTCCGCTTTCGTCTCTGTTTGCAGATCTTCCTTTTTTAATCTGTTGAAGTCTGCAGAGATGAACTCCTTGGTTGCGACCAGCAGAAACTTTCGCCAGGCGGCGAGAATCCTTGGTCTCGACGCTAAGCTCGAGAAGAGTCTTTTGATTCCTTTTCGGGAGATCAAAGTAGGGAATCGATCCCATACATTTCTCATTAAGTCTAGATGTCTTGAATTCCTTTTTTTTTTTTTAATGTTTCTGAGATTGCTGGATGTTTATCTTCTTGTGCGCGTGTCTGTAGGTGGAGTGTACGATTCCGAAAGATGATGGTACTTTGGCTTCGTTTGTTGGATTTAGGGTTCAACATGATAATGCCCGTGGCCCGATGAAGGGCGGGATTCGATATCACCCAGAGGTAGTAAGATGTGTTTCTATTTTTCTTTTCGTTTTAGTTTTTAGTTTGTTATTGTGGATGTGGATTTAAGTATCGATCGAAATTGGTGGGATTATGTGACTGGGGTTTTTAGGGATTAGAACTTTTGGTCGATTCGGTGAGATTTTGTTGCTCGTGTCTTAGCAGTTCTCTTTTGTTTGGAAAAGTTGGGAGCAATTTGTCTTATTATAGTTTTGGACGGTTCTGAAGAGAAAAAGTTGGGAATATGTCAAAGCATGACTGTGCGTTTTATTTAAGATGTGTTTGGCCGGTTTGTGTTTATTAAGATAAGTTGTTTATTCAAATTGTGGACCTCGGGGTTTGACTCTCATTCTCTCTTTAGTGTAAAAAATCAACTGCATTGGTCAAAGCATGATTGTGCGTTTTATTTAAGATGTGTTTGGGCGGTTTGTGTTTATTAAGATAAGTTGTTTATTTGAAATTGTGGACCTCGGGGTTTGACCCTCATTCTCTCTTTAGTGTAAAAAATCAACTGCATTTTTCGATGAGCTGTTCAAGCACAATTTTCAAAATGCCGCCCCCAAAGCTAATGAGAAGTATAAAACCTCTTAGGGAGTGAATATTTTAGAACAAAAAGTTGGAAGCTTTCTCACTGTTATGTTTTATATATTAGAGTAGGATTAGCTATCGATATATGCAGCTTGTTAATTAAAATGATTTTAAACGTGACTAAGAAATTTTTTCCTAGTTTTGCATGACATTTTTTTAAAATATATTATTCTCTTCTTCCTTTCGTTCTAAAAGACAAAACCTTTGCTAGGTTCTTATGATATTATTGTTTATATTCATTCTGATGCAGCTCTTAACTGGAAAAAGTTTACTATTCTTAGAGATCCAGTAAATAAAATTCCTCATTTTAGACAAATTCGGTCACCAAATGAGTATAAGTTGAAGAAAATTCTGTGAAGTTTGGGCTTTTTCTTCAGCTTCCTTTTGCCATGCTCATAATGTTTCTGCTGATCAGACTCTGTACAAGTTTTTGTTTTTTTTTTACTTGATACTTATTATAATTGTTTAAGTGATTTAATCTCCTGATTGGATTCAAAATTTTTACATTTTAATCAGGTTGATCCAGATGAGGTAAATGCTCTTGCTCAGCTTATGACATGGAAAACAGCTGTTGCAGACATACCATATGGCGGAGCAAAGGGTGGGATTGGTTGCAATCCTGATGATTTAACCAAAAGCGAACTGGAACGCCTCACCCGTGTGTTTACTCAAAAAATTCACGATTTAATTGGATCTCACGCTGATGTTCCAGCTCCAGATATGGGAACTAATGCACAGGTCTTTTATGTTCACTATTGATTTACCACATACAATTGTTTTATATCGAGTCTGTAGTTTAATTTGCGTACTTAGGACTTCTAATTGTGCGGTTCATTTTAGTTTGGATCCGTTTTACTTTCCTTATCCTTTTGTTTTATTTTGTTTTTGTTTGGGTTCTAGTTTCATTTAAAACAAAATTATACTTCGAAGTTCTACTTCTTTATTGTCTTTAAAAACAGAAGATGGAAAATATGTTTGGAAAAATGGTCGGAAAATAAAATTAATTTTTATTTTTTTAGTATAATTTTGTAATTAATTTATAATTATTTTCATTTTAGAATTATTATCTTTATAAATCTTTATTTTGGCGCTTTTAATATATGTTGACATCATAATCACAAATTAGTTATTAAATTCTTAGGTTAATCAATAGTTTAATTAATTGATAAGTTTTAATTGTTGTAAAAATAAGCTTAATTAATTTTTAAATGAATGATTTTGATTAAGATCATACATAATTCCTATTAAAAGCTTAATAAACAGTTAATTATAATTTCATGTGCTTGATTGATTAATTAATTATAAAATGCTGATTGAGATAAATAGAAACTTGGAAAACTTTAATGATCATAGTTAATACCTTAAATATTCGTTAATTAGACTTGACAAATAGTTTATCAATTCGTATGATTATGTATGAATTTCTCACTTCAATCATAGATACCATTATTAAATATTTGTAAGATATCAATAATTTTAATTAGGATCCGACAGACTCTTTAAATCAAATAAATAATTTATTAATCAATGGCTGATGAATTCAAGAATTAATAATCTTAAGATCTATTAATTATCTTTATTAAATAGAAATAAAGTTTAGCTCGAATTAGTTTATTTGATTATTAATGATTGATTATACTGACTAATAAGTCAAGTAATTAGTTATATTTTGGTCATATTGTAGTGATTAAAAAATATATAATTTAATGATTATAATTAAAGATCTAATTAGTTTTGTAATTTTTTAATAATAATTACATCAAATAATTATTGCATAAGTTAATTATTAAATTTATAATAATGAAAATTGAAAGTTATGAAACCTTATATAACTATTACATAAATTACTACTATTAGTCTTATTAATATCCAATTAGCACAATTTTCTCCATGTAGCCTGACTAATTTAAACAATCACTTATGCACCTTCAAAACCAAACGATAACACTCATATAGATATTTTCATACTTTGAAGTAACAAGTCACTTTGTTTACAATAAAATAAAATGGAAATATGTTTAACAAATATTTTCTGACTCGGACTTTTAAAAAAAAAATTATATTAAATTAAATTAGAGTGAATCTAAGCATGGTTTTTTTTTTTAATTTTTTTTTGCTTTTTCTTACTTGTGCCATTCCATCTTAGACTATGGCGTGGATATTGGATGAGTACTCCAAATTTCATGGTCACTCCCCAGCTGTTGTTACGGGAAAGCCAATAGTGAGTGTTTGATTTGTGTGGCTATTTTTTAGTATATAAAAAGCCTTAATTGAGCCAACTGTAAACTAGTTTTTCATATGTGCAGGATCTTGGTGGTTCACTGGGCAGGGATGCTGCTACTGGACGCGGAGTTGTTTTCGCTACTGAGGCTCTGTTGGCTGAACATGGGAAATCCATCAAAGGATTGACATTTGTTATACAGGTGAGTTGTATTTTAATTTCGTTTTGTTATTTCTTATATACCTCCATATTATAATTCATCATCGATTGCAAACATTTATTTGTTACAACAAAAGCTTTGCCGTGCCAGAAAAATTCCCAAGAGGATATTGTGATCTTCTCAATGTTAAAATTACTAGGCATCCTCCATATTATAATTCGTCATCTATTGCAAACATTTATTTGTTACAACAAAAGCTTGGCCGTGCCAGAAAAATTCCCAAGAGAATATTGTGATCTTCTCAATGTTAAAATTACTAGGCACGCATGCAATAAAACAGAGTAGATTTTTCTTACATAGAATATCTTGATGGGAAAAAATTATGTGGTCCCCCCCCCCTTTTTCTTACATTGAATATTATAATTCATCATCGAATGGTCAAAGAATCTTAGTACACTGGTGCCTTAAAGGCAAGTAAATTAAAATGTTGATGATGGTAGTGTCGTGCGACAGTTATTGCCAGTAGTTAATGTTATCAGAATGATTGATGTGTTCATAGTGATAATTTGGGAATCTGTGGGAGTGCACACCCCCGAAATGCCAATAATGCTTTGATACAAAGGCATCAATAGTATGGAAGGTGTAAGTGGTGGCAGAGATAGGCTTAATAATAGTTGCATGCGATAGGCTCAAAGTTGATAGCCATGGCATCCCTGATAGTGCAGTGTCTTGCTAGCTTGGAGGTGACGATATTGGGAGGCTTGAAGGTGTAGTTGAGTCAAACCTAAAAGTGGAGCTTGCAGTTGGCCTTGATGTAATTTGAGCAGTGATCTTGAAAATGATGGTGGTGATGAACACAAGGGTGGAGGCTATGATTGACTAATTGAATTGTGGAGATAGCAGCAAGCCCTGAAGTGGCTGAATGACAAGCTTGATGCTAAAAGTTGTGATGAATCTCGGAGTGGTTGTTTTTTCTAGCCCAAAGGCATGATACTGACCAACTCAAAGGTGAAAATGATAAGTTCAAAGGAAATAGCTTATAAAATATAGAACTAGCAATTTCAATGTGGAAACTGACAATGCAAATACCTTCATCGGTTGCCAATGTCGAAACCTTGCAAGCCCGAATTTTTTTTTCTCTGCTACAAGAGTTCAACTTGACCTGTAATTCTTTTTTTTTTTTTTTCATTTTCTTTTCTTCTGTTGTGTGACTTTATTTTTGTAATTGGATGCTAGACTCCTCTTCAAATAGGCCCTTATATAGATAGGAGGAACACAAGGACAAAGAAACTCAAATAGACACACATTCTAAACATCCAAAATCTTTCTAAAAATACGAAACCTCCAAGCCCTAAAATAACCCAAATCGTATCTAAGAATAAGAGAGAAATCACTTAACAATTCATCTGGATTTAAAAAAAAATATTGAAATAATAATCTCCACATCACTAAACAGTGTTGAACACTTTGGTCAGTGATCTGAAAATACTATGATGTCGACAATTAAGTTTGAACCTCTTTGGTGGTGTTGGGTTCAATGTTTTGTGTTCTGTATTAATAAATTGTGAGGAGCTTCATGGCCTTTTCATTTTGATATGGCAAGGATATGAACGAATGTTCGGGAAGAATCTCATCCAACTGTTCCTGTCTTCAGTGGAGGATTTTGAAACAAATGGCTTACAACAACGTGCTTATAAGTGGTCATAGTACTTAAAAGAAGATATGAAGTTTCTAGATCATCATGACCAAATGATACATAATAATTTCAATGGAGAGGAGGTCACTGACATGCTTCTCATCAGAGCTTCATTGCCGTGGGGGAATGATAACAGAACTACCATTCACCTGAGTTTACTTGATCCGTTGGAGTTTATGTGAACTCCAATCAAGCGCTTTGGCACTTATTTATTATTGTGCTATGACCTTGATATGCTTTTATAGGCTCCTTAAAATCCATTTTTTACATCAAAATTGTGTATGATTTGATCAATTCTATTAAACCCAACAACGTTTTACTATTATGATCTACAACGAAGAAAGAGTGATGGCTTGATTCATTTAACAAGAACTATACCTTCTTAATTGCATTAGAATCTCAAAATCCGTCACGCCTAATGTCGAAGCAAATTCATGCTCTTTATCTTGTTGTCTAATTCAGTGAACCATAACTTCAAACATCTGTTCATCATGCATCATCTGTAATACCTAATTATGCTTTTCTTTGAAATAGGGTCAGATAAAAATGTGCTTCTCTTGCAGCACATGTTAAAACACTGAAGCCTTCTCTTCTCTCCATTCTTTATACTTTCAGGGATTTGGCAACGTCGGTTCATGGGCTGCAAAATTCATTCATGAGAGTGGTGGAAAGATCATTGCTATCAGTGATGTATCTGGAGCAATAAAAAACCCTAGCGGCATAAATATTGAAGATCTACAGAATCACATATCTTCCGGTGGGGTTTTGAAAGATTTCAATGGTGGAGATGCCATGGATTCCAATGAGTTACTTACACATGAATGTGATGTTCTCATTCCTTGTGCCTTGGGTGGAGTCCTCAACAGGTTCCACACTACTAGAAGTTTTGGTTATATATATATTTCTGATTTGATTTCTAGAAATACATGAGGTGTAATCTAACTCCGCCATCAATTTTCCATTTTGAAAGGGAAAATGCTGCTGCTGTGAAGGCCAAATACATAATTGAAGCTGCGAATCATCCCACTGATCCTGAAGCAGATGATGTAACTCATGCATCATAGTTTAAAAAAATCTGCTTCATACAGCAAAATTATGGAATTTTTTATCTTATTGCCTCAAAATTCTTTTTTGCAGATATTTGCAGAGAAAGGAGTGCTAGTACTGCCTGATATCTATGCCAATGCAGGCGGTGTAACCGTGAGCTACTTCGAGTGGGTTCAGGTAATGAACCCTAAACTTTATATGATATTAACACAAATAAGCAAGAAAAAACAATTGAAATTGAATGGTGTTTCTCCTCCTCCAATTATTGAAGAATATTCAAGGATTCTTGTGGGATGAAGAGAAGGTGAACACTGAGCTCAAGAGATACATGCTGACTGCTTTCAAGAACATCAAGGGGATGTGTAAATCTCATGATTGCAATCTTAGGATGGGGGCCTTCACTTTGGGGGTGAATCGAGTCGCCCGAGCCACAGCTTTGCGTGGATGGGAGGCTTAGGAGAATGATGATTAGCTTCTATATTTATTGGTCATAGAGTTATGAATCACCAAGTCAAGCGGCATTTGTTTTGGAGTTCATGTATGTTTAATAACTAGTTAAGTGCTTGTAATCCATCATTGGAGTGTTGAATGAGCTAAAAAGCTTATGAATGTTGCCTATTTAAGGCCATGTTTGGTTTAGGTTTTTTTTTTCTTTTTTTTTTTTTTTTTTTTTTTTTTTTAATTAGTAATGTATTTGACGTATGTTGTGTTATTTTGTAATAAAATGTGTTTTGAGTTGGTGTCACCTCAAATAATTATTTTGGGTTGTTTACGTACATAGCACTCGAAACATTGTTATTTATAAATCTAGCATTCTTTTTCATCTATGTTTAAAATTCTTACTCAAATATCAAAATTCATTATAAAATGCTAATTCATATTTATCATTATCAAATTCTCAATGGTTTAATCTTGGCACACGCAACTACAATTCAGTAGTTCAAAAATATCAATCGGTTTAAGATTTTATAAATAATAATGTTTCGATTGCTTTGTAGGTAATTATAAATCTAGCACCCGAAGCCTTGATAATTTGACTACGTAGGTCTGACGTATGAAAAATCTCTTAAATGTCTTTGTGGTGTTTTAAATTGTTGTGATGACTCACAATTATTGGAGTAAGGCAATATTATGACTGTAATTCTATAAACTGTTGTTAAATAATGAAAGAAGGTTTCTTATTGGTAAACATATCTACTTGAGGAAGACTAATTAGTTATAAATAATGAGGGGTGCATGTTGAGAGGGTTGAAGGGGAATGAAAATAGTTTGTTAGAGTGAGGTAATGAGAGGTTTTATAAAATTGAAGAGAGGATCTTGGAAATCTTGTTTCGGGTTGATGTGAGAGAGAGATGACAAGAGAGCTCATCAATCGGTTTAAGATTTTATAAATAATAATGTTTTGATTGCTATGTAGGTAATTATAAATCTAGCACCCGAAGCCTGAAGCCTTGCCTTGATAATTTGATTACGTAGGCCTGACGTGTGAAAAATCTCTTAAGTGTCTTTTTGGTGTTTTAAACTGTTATGATGACTCACAATTATTGGACTAAGACAATAGTATGACTGTAATTCTATAAACTGTTGTTAAAGAATGAAAGAAGGCTTCTTATTGGTGAACAGATCTACTTGGGGAAGCCTAATTAGTTATAAATAATGAGAGGTGCATGTTGAGAGGGTTGAAGGGGAATGAAAACAATTTGTTGGAATGAGGTAATGAGAGGTTTTATGAAACTGAGGAGAGGATATTGGGAATCATGTATCGGGTTGATGAGAGAGAGAGTATGACAAGAGAGCTCATAATCGGTTTAAGATTTTAAGATTTTATAAATAATAATGTTTCGATTGCTATGTAGGTAATTATAAATGTAGCACTCGAAGCCTTCATAATTTGACTACATATGCCTGACGTGTGAAAAATCTTTTAAATGTCTTTGTGGTGTATTAAACTGTTGTGATGACTCACAATTATTGGACTAAGACAACAGTATGACTTTAATTCTATAAAATGTTGTTAAGGAATGAAAGAAGGCTTCTTATTGGTGAATAGATCTACTTGGGGAAGACTAATTAGTTATAAATAATGGGGGTGCATGTTGAGAGGGTTGAAGGGGGAAAACAGTTTGTTGGAGTGAGCTAATGAGAGGTTTTATGAAACTAAGCAGAGGATCTTGGGAATCTTGTATCAGGTTGATGAGAGAGAGAGTATGACAAGAGAGCTCATCTCTCAGTGATAAAATTGTGTAACCTTGTTGATTGCCTTAGTGAATTGGTGTTTTTTCCCTTCTCGTGGATGTAGGTCTTATGGACCGAACCACGTAATCCTTTGTGCTCTTGGTAACATTCTTGTTTTCTTGTTCTGTGTTCTTTAAGCTAGCATTCGGTTCTTTTTGTTGCTCTCGGATAGTTTCCATTGTTGTTTGATTGGTAGATACATCAACAAGTGATACCGTCTGTGGGAAAACCAGACTAAGATAATGGGATCTACCAAGTTAGACCACGAAAAATTCACCGGAAAGGATGACTTTGGCTTGTGAAGAGTCATGTTGAGAGCCTTGCTTGTACAACAGAGCATTGTGGAAGAACTGCAAGGACCAGCTGTGTTGCCTGTTGAGATGCCCGAGAAAGAAAAGAACATTATCTTGGATAAAACTCATAGCATGATAATTTTGAGCCTGGGTGATAAAGTTTTGAGGGAAGTGTCAAGGGAGACAATGACTCAGACACTCTGGACTAAACTTGAACTGCTCTACATGACGAAATCCCTGGCCAACAGACTCTTCTTGAAGCAACGTTTGTATTCCTTCAAGATGTATGAAGGAAAATCAATCTCAAAGCAGATTGTGAGTTTAACAAGATTATAGATGATCTTGAAAATATCAACATCAAAATGGGAGACGAGGATAAGGTGTTGTTGTTGCTAAACTCCATTTCCAAGAGTTACGAGCACTTCAATGATGCAATGCTCTATGGAAGGGTGCAAACAATTTCGCTAGAAGAGGTTCAATCGTTGATCAGAGCTAAAGAACTTTAAAGAAAACATGACTTGAATGAGGAAATCAACGAAGATGGTCTTACCGTCTTACCATTAGAGAAAAATTAGACAAGAAAGATTTAAGAAATGGTCATAACAAATCAAGATCGAGATAAGGAAAAAAGAGCAAAAATCGGTTATCAAAGGGACCTTTCAAATGTTATCATTGCCACAAGGAAGTTCACTTCAAGAAGAACTGTCCTGACAGGAAGAAAAAATATTAAGAAAAGCCAAAAGAATCAGGATAAGCAAGTGTAGCCTCTGATAATTTAGCTGGTGCTTTGATAATTACTGAGTCTGAATCAAGCAAGGAGTCAATTCTTGATTCAGGCAGCTCCTTCCATGTGTCTCCTCATAAAGATTGGTTTGAGACACTCCAATTGGTCAACAGTGGATCAATATTGCTTGGAGACAACAAAACTCGCAGGGTTGTTGGCACTGAGACAATCAGGATAATGATGTTTGATGGAGCTAAACGAATACTGTAAAATGTATGGTATATACCATAACTTAAAAGAAATATGATTTCTTTAGGTATGTTGGAACCAAGTAGCTATTCTTTTAAGGCTGAAAATAGTTGTATTAAAGTAACTAAAGGCTCTTTAATTGTAATGAACGGAGTTAGAAATAATGGTCTATATTCACTAATCGAAGGAACTGTAATTGGTAACTTTTCTAATGTTATTCAATCTGAAAGTAACATGCTCACAAAGGTTCTAGCTGCTGCTAAGTTCAGATATTGTCTGGACTTAATGGACTCTACTAAAGTTTAATAGCCCGTTGTGGCTGAGAAGATGGAATCATCATCATGCAATTTTGTAATTGAGAGTCAAGGTGGAGAATTATTGCGATGACTCACAATTCTTGGACTAAGGCAATGTTATAAGTGTAATTCTAACAACTGTTGTTAAAGAAGGAAATGAGGCTTCTTATTGGTGAACCGATCTACTTGGGGAAGGCTCGTTAGTTATAAATAATGAGGGATGCACATTGAGAGGGTTGAAGAGGAATGAAAATAGTTTGTTAGAATGAGATAAGGAGAGATTTTATGAAACTGAGGAGAAGATCTTGGGAATCTTGTATCGGGTTGATGAGAGAGAGAGTATGGCAAGAAAGCTCATCTCTCAATGATAATGTTGTGTAACCTTGTTGATTGCCTTAGTGAATTAATGTTTTTTCCCTTCCCGTGGATGTACTTCTTATGGATCGAACCACGTAATCCTTGGTGTTCTTGGTTGCATGCTTGTTTTCTTGTTCTGTGTCATTTAAGCTAGTATTTGGTTCTTTGTGTTGCTCTTGGTTAGTTTCTATTGTAGGGTGATTGGTAGATACATCAACATAAACTAAAATTTAAAAAAAAAAAAATCTAATTTGAAGTACAGAGTATAATCCACTTTACCAATTGAGAACAAACGATAATGCTCAAGTTTCTTCTCCCTAAGGCTTTATACAAAGTTCTTGATCTGTTACACATTTATTTTGTAGCTATTTTTTTCAACTCTACATGAATCAGGATAAGCAAGTGTAGCCTCTGATAATTTAGCTGGTGCTTTGATAATTACTAAGTCTGAATCAAGCAAGGAGTCAATTCTTGATTCAGACAGCTCCTTCCATGTGTCTCCTCATAAAGATTGGTTTGAGACACTCCGATTGGTCAACGGTGGATCAATATTGCTTGGAGATAACAAAACTCGCAGGGTTGTTGGCATTGAGACAATCAAGATAATGATGTTTGATGGAGCTAAACGAATACTGCAAATTGTATGGTATATACCATAACTTAAAAGAAATATGA